AAAAAAAAAAAAAAAAAAAAAAAAAAAAAAAAAAAAAAAAAAAAAAAGGAGCATACATACTCTTTAAGTGAAAGTTAGAATTTTTAGTTATCATATAAACATAAAATTATGAGGCGTTAATAATCCTTCACACTTGCAAGACAAATCCGACAGATGGGCATCTCACAAAAATCAGTTGTCTATCCTCTTGCATCTGAATTGCAAGAAGGATAATTGAAACAATTTAAAATGTCTTTTAACAGTATAATTATCTAAATACACTGAGAATCCATGAATTGACGTAGAGGCATAAAACCAAAACCTAATGACAACTTTGAAGAATATCAACCAAGTTAACCTTGATGCCAGAACTTTCCTTCGACTTAAACATGTACCAGTTGCATTCTGAATTTGTTGAAACTGGTAGTAATTCTTTCTTGCTAACACTAACCTATACAAGCGACGCTTGAGACGCGCGATTTTGCTGGGGTTACACTGAGATTCTTGTTTCTATGGGAGAAAAAAACTGCATGAGACAAGCCTTGTCTTTCTCGAGGGCCTGTAACCAACACAGACAGTCATGAAAAGCAATGCCTGGAGTCACAGGAGTCAGTTCTGCTATATCCCATACCCAACGCGTTAAGCAAAGAACAGTTTTTTCAATGACCACACCACGTTAAATAAAGAAAAAAAAAAAGATAAAAGAACAGTCCACATCACAGATGGCTCCTGCCAGGTTAGCATCTTAAAAACTTTGTCCTCGGAAAGGACGAAAGCAATAATTTTAGGAATCCTAACAGTGGCAGAAGTGTAAGTCGAAAAAACCTGTTCGAAAATCAGTTTAGGGGCCGGGCGCGGTGTCACCCCAGGCTGACAGGCGGGAGGATCGCTTGAGCCCAACCAGGAATTCGAAACCAGCCTGGGAAATACAGTGAGACCCCATTTCTACAAAAAGTTTTAAAAATTAGCCAGGCGTGGTGGCGCACGCCTGTAATTCCAGCATTTTGAGAGTCTGGGATGGGAGCATTGCTTGAACCCAGGAGTTCAAGACCAGCTTGGGCAACACAGCGAGACTCCGTCTCTGAAGAAAAAAAAAAAAAAAAATTTAAAGAAAACTTTTGGGGCACTAAAGCGGCCCGTTCAATCAAGCTCGCATCAAATATGATCAACTCAACCGCCGGGTTCCCAACACAGCTCGCGAGGTCCCGGGATTGAGAGGTTCAAGCAAAAAACAAGACAGGGTCCCTTTTTGGAAAAACGGTAAAAATCTCCAAGAGCGCTTCCTCTACGATGGCTCCCGGGGAGGGTGGCGGGCGGCGTCCGGGAAGAAAGCCGGAGGGTGGAGTTCACTTTTCCCTCCGGCCAGCGAGTGGCGAAGCCCTCCCCCATCGAGAGCCGGAACCAGGCACGCGCCGCCCGGGCCGCCAGAGCCCGCGGCCCGCGGCCCCCGCCCCGCGCCCCGCGCCCCGCGCCCCACAGGCCCACAGGCCCGGGCCCACAGCCTACGCGAGCCCGCCAGGGACCCCCGGCCTGCCTAAGTCTCAATCCCGGCCCGACCCCCGCCCGCGCCCAACCCCGCGGCCCCCAGCCCGGACCCGGCAGCGCACTTACCCGTCTCCCACCACCACACACTTGATGGCCTGCATCTGGGCCGCTCGCTGGGCCGCGGCGGCGGCAGGGTGCTGAGACGGGAAGCGGCGGGCTCGGGGCGCGGCGGACAGGCGCGCGGCTTGCGGACGGCTGGGCGCTGGATGCCGGGGCCGCTGTCCACGCCGCCTCGCCCTCCGCGGACTGGAAGCCGAAGCCCGGCAGCGGACACCACCCAAAGCTGAGGAAAACTGCAGAGAAACAGGAAATGGCCGCTCCACTCACATCCGGCCTCCCCTCCCCCGCGCCGGCGCCGCCGCTCCCAGGTTCCGGGCGGGTCCGCTCCCTCCCGCGCGGTTCCCGGAGTTCCTCTGGGCTTCAGGAACGCTCGGAAGTGTTCGGGCCCGCTCGTCTCCGCCCACGGGGCGCGGCGGCTGCCATCTTTGCGCGCTAACGCGGCCTGGGCGTGTCCGGATCTGCGGGTGCCTTCCCTGGGGTTCAGGGTTTGGCCCTAAGAGAAACCTGCGGTGGCTCATGCCTGTAATGCTAACACTTTGGAAGGCCGAAGTGGATCACGAGGTCAGAATTTCAAGACCAGCGTCCGAGAAGAAACGGACGCTGGTGAAAACCCGTCTCTACTAAAAAAATACAAAAATTAGGCCGGGCGCGGTGGCTCACGCCTGTAATCCCAGCCCTTTGGGAGGCCGAGGCGGGCTGGAGGCCCGAGATAGGGATGGGAGGCCGAGGCGGGTGGGAGGCCCGAGATAGGGATGGGAGGCCGAGGCGGGCCGGAGGCCCGAAATAGGGATGGGAGGCCAAGGCGTGCGGGAGGCCCGAGATAGAGAGTTCGAGACCGCCGCACCAACATGGAGAAACCCCGTCTCTACTAAAAATACAAAATTAGCCGGGGCGTGATGGCGCATGCCTGTAATCCCAGCTACTCGGGAGGCTGAGGCAGGAGTATCGCTTGAACCTGGGAGGCGGAGGTTGTGGTGAGCTGAGATCGCCCCATTGCACTAAACAGGAGAGAAAC